GGAAATGTTCTCCCTATTTTTTCCATCCATGTGCAGAATACATTTTGCTATATGCACAGAGGCATGTGTGGATGTGCATCATCAATTGAAACACATGCTGCTGGCTTTGAGTGGTTGTGGACACCCTGCTAATCATCTGGGAGGCCCCTGAATCTCTCCTAGGTGGTTGTCCGCAAGCACACAGCTTACAGGAACACTGACACCAGGGAATGGGGCTTCTGCCTATACCCAAGCTCTCCTAACCCCCACAGCCTAGACCTCCATGGTACCCCTTTCCCTTCTGGGTCCTGGAATTTTTATAGCATATTGGGAGGGGGGCTACTTCATAGTTCTGATTGCCTGACAGGCCCTAGCTATCCCCTCCCTGCAGGATTTCAGCCCCACAGCTCCTGCTTTATCCACATGGGTTTCAGCATCAGCTCCCAGTGGTCCCTAGGAAAGGGCTTGAAGACCCCGCTGACAACCCCTGTCTTAGAAACACACTTACTCCACCTCTCCCTCCACCCCCACACACAGCTTCTCTCCTACCTGATGTGTTGCCTCCTTCTTCTCTACCAACCCTGAGGCCCCCCACCCCCACCACCCAGCCACAAACAAGACAGGTCTAGGGCTGTGCTGACTTACCAGCAAGGGAGCAGAAAATACTGGACAATTTGCCCTTAAAAAAAAAAAAAAAAGCAGGTGAGGGCTTAAATATGTAACTGTCCTGTTAACAATGGGATGGATGGCCACCCTATTATTCAAAAATGCAACAGTGTCAAAACTTGCCTTTGTGAGGTGAATGACCACTCTTCCGCCGGATGAAGGCCAGTAAGAATAGGCTAGTGCAATGACCATTTTGTTCTATATTATATCTGTGTCTTAATATTATGAACATACTGTATGATGACAATATATATTTGCAGAGTACTTCTCTAAAAAGTGGTTCTTGTAGCCATTATGTATTAGGAGAGCTTTATGATGAAGAACCTTAAAGAGAGCACTGATATTATTTTTTTAATATATGGGAATAGATTTGCAAGATGAACAATATGTGAGTTTTGTTTTTTTGGTGGTGTTTTATTAAGACATTTTTGTTATGTCGTGGGGAGTTTCACAGCATAGGAAGAAATCAGTGGAAAGGCAGAGAGCTGGAGTAGGTGCAAGTGTCCATTTTATTGCATAGCACAGAGCTCACCAGAACAAGCCCAGACTAGCTGGGCTGACCCCAGTGACCTACTCAGTTACCATAACAACAAGATCTATATCTACAACCCAATATACAACAATTTTCATAATGTAGGTGTGTATTTTGACGATTTACAAATTGTAGAATGGAAAAATCTTTGCTCCCTACTTTTTTTCATTCTTTAATCATATGTCTACACTACAGAGGAAGATCAAAGCTGCCACTGTCCATCTTCCAGGGTTCAAATTAGCAATCTCATAAAGACAGCTAATTTGAAGTAAGGGGAGCACTCTGGTCAATGCCCGTAATCCTGCTTTCATGAGGAGTAAGGGAAGTCAAAGGAAGAGTGCTCTTCGTTTGATTTCCTGTAGCGTGGACAGTGCCAAAAGCCAAGTTAAGCTACTTCAGCTTCAGATATGCAATTAATGTAGCTGAAGTCACATAGCTTAATTCAGTTTTGTCCTAGTGTACACATACCCTTCAGATAGTTACCCAAGATAACTAAATAAACCAGGACTCCATTAGTTCAAGTGGTAGAGATTGTGCTGTGGACCCTAGCTTCTACTTTCCTTCCTTTTCCTCCCATGCAGGCAGTAAACGTAGTTCTACATGATAGAATTTGGAAGAGAAGGTGTTGTGATTCAATTTCTTTCAAGAAAGTATCATTAAAAAATTGTTTATAGAAAACCATGTTAAAACATTAAGGTTGCCAAGTCAAACATTCAAAAGTTAGGAAATGTCAGGATTAATATTGCTCCTGCAATGTTCATTCAGCCCCCTTGTGTGTGTGTATTAAGATACAGTCTATAGTTACATCATCACACAAACTTTGTTCTGCAGAACACCTTCTTCATTCAGTGCCCCGTGCAGATGAGGATTGAAGCAAAGTTGCTAGGAAGGATGTTCTCTTGAATTTAAGGGCCTGGGATGGTATAAAGGAGAGCTAAAGTCTATGTTTTGGCTTTGTCACAGACGTTAAATGTGAAGCTGGATTAGGTTACATTAATACATATGCTTAAAGAGGTCAAATTAGAGTCGTATGGGTGACCTTAATTCTTGCATCCCTAACTTTGAAGAGCTTGACTTTACAAGTTTAATAGTGTTTTCTTTATAACTATATATATTATTTACTACTAGGATTGGTATACCGTGGTAAATACTAGTTAACATTTTCAAAACAAAGGGATAAATATATCCAAGTCTATCAAAATTAATGAATTATCTGTCTAATTCTTTCAGTTTTGAAAATTTTCCCTGGTATAGTTTTGTAATACAGACAATAAAATTAAGTGCAACACTCCTCCACCTATCTGCCTATTTCTCTCTTAATTTTTTTCCTCTTACTTTTTAATTTTGTATCTCTCACATAGAGCATGATGCTCATGGGCCAAATCTGGCAAGAACTTACATTTGAACCTGTTCACAATTGTAAGTGTTGCTCCTCATAGAAGATATTTTCAGGACTGAGTCCTGTTTTAGGATGTACAACTGGCAAGACTTGTGTCAAAGCTTAAAGTGCAAAACGTAATATTGTTTGAAAGCATATTTTGGATTTTATTTAGTCTGGGTTTTTTTATAGTGCTCTTTAGACACCAGACCAAATAAATGAATGAATACATCATTATAAGCATTAATTTAAGGAGTTTATTCAACACCAGATGAGAATTGGAGTAATGTAATGTATCATTCAGCAGCTTATGCATCCAAAGTATGCACTCTTTTCTGAGGCAAAATACTTGTGGAAGAAAGTGAGATTTTTGCCTGAGTGAGAACTGCAGGATTAGTTCCTGTGGTTGATGATGTTGAATCGGATCCAACTACAACTGAAATCAGTTGTTTGCAGTGTTGGTGCAGCCATGTTAGGTCCTAGGCTGTTAGAGGGATAATATACGGGAGGTAATATCTTTTACTGGACCAATTCATAGGAACACCAGACCCTGTCAGAGAAGATGCGAAACTAGAAGACATATCTCTACTGCTATAATAGTCAGTACTCCTACACAGCACACTGTTCAAGATCCATGGGTTCAAGACTTGCCTATCACAACATGTGGTGCACCTCATCCAGTGCATTAAATGCTCCAATAACAACTATGTGGGCAAAACCAGAAATCGCTACACTCTTGAAAGAACTCACCCAGGAATATGATAAAAGACAAAAACACCATTTTACCTGTTGGTAAACACTTTTCATAAATGATCATTACATATCTGACCTCTCCGTTCTCATTCTCAAAAGAAACACTAGATAAGGAGCTTAAATTGGTAAGACATTACAAATTATGGTCTATATAAATAGACTGGATTTATGTCTGATTATAATTACCTGTAATCCACTAACCCCCCTTTTTGTCCTATGACTGCAGAGGTGTTAACAGGGGCCACCTCACCTTGAATGGTCTCTTATGATGTGTGTTAACTACTTACGCTAAACTATCTATTCCACGTTGTATTTAGTGGTGATAAGTCTAAGTACTTTCCCCAGACCTGAAGAAGAGCTCTGTGCAGATCAAAAGCTTGTCAGGTGAAGCAATATATTTTATTGGTCTAAATTTTGTAGACCCAGTAAAAGATACCACCTCACCAATCCTATGTGTCTATTGAAATCACTGGCAGTTTTTTCATTGACTTCAGTGTGGCTGCTTCTTTTGTAACTCTAACAAACTGTCTCTTCCCTGGTCCTCTAACTTCCACAAAAACTTCTATTTATGCAAAAATTATAAAGAGGGATCATTAAAAATTCTATAAAACAAATTTTACAGATATTACATTGGTTGTAGTCTTATCAAGAGTCTATTCTTAGTTGAGGAAATTTCTTTTAAAGAGTTCTTACAGAAATAGGTGTAATGTTTGACACTTTCAAAATAGAGTTTCTCTTACTTGAATTTTGAGGTTAATTTTTTTCTTGAAATAAGTGATTTTCCTCCCTGTTAATTAGAATTCTTGCAGTAAACTGTAATTCTGTAAGCAGTACATTTTCTCTTGCATTCATTAATTGGGGCTGGCAGTTATGCCCTGTGTGGCCTGTTTTGTCCTTTATACAGCTTATATTTTAAGATGAAAATTTAAACATTGGAAATCTATGTATATCCAGTCTCCAGTTTAGACCTTTAAATCCCCCCTTCCCCCAAAAGTCAAACCCCCAAACCAAAACAAAAATATTGACAGCAAAGATAGATCCCCAAATATTCAAGCTTAATCTGACATTTCTCTGCTAACAAACTAGCTGAAGAATTTATTGTTACCTAATAACAGCTCGTGAATATTCATGAAGTTGCCCTCCTGAGCCTGGAAGGGAAAAAACACTCAGAAGTATTTATGATACATGGAAGAAAAAAGACCAATACACTATAGACAGCTGTAGTTTAATTAGTAGAATCTAACACGGTCCAATTAAGCAGTATATAGTATTTGCCAGGATTTGGGAAACCCATCAATTTCACAGGAAATTAAGGTTGAATTTTTGCCATCACTTGGCCACATGGAAAGGATCCCAAATGACTCTGAGCCCTGAAGACCTAATTGAGAGCTGTGAGTACATCCAGGGATTTCTCTCCTCTTCTGAATTTTATGCACACAATAACCACTTTGTTTATATCAGTTCTCTGAAGTGCTGCCTAGTGGAGAGCAGCTTTCTTTCAGATTGACTGTCATGCAGTGAAGGTATGATTGCAAAGCCTGATGCCTGGTATTATTTGACTTGCAGTAGTGTTTGCCACCACAATTTGATCATTGAAAAAATATTTTACACTCTTCCGTTCTTTTACTTTTGCAGATAGCACAGAAATGGATGGCTCTTTACAGAGAGAGTAAGCCCTGGAGGAGCTAACGTTCTAAAGACCCAATCTTTCTAAGAATGTTAGTATAGTGAGTCATATGCATAGCAGTTCACAGGATTGGGGACCAAGTTAAAATGTAGCTGAATAATAAGCATTAGAAACATTTTGGGTGGAATCCGAAACTACTGAAGTTAGAGGAGTTTTGACATTGATTTCAGTAAGGTCAGCATTTCACATTTGTTGTCCAGTCCTGCTTCCATGGAAGACAGTGGCAATAGAAATGTGCCCTAATAAATAAACTTGTTTTCTTGACCAAAAATATATGTAGTCAAATCAGCTATCCCAAATAACAAATGAAGTACCTTTTATTATGTATAAATTGTTCTTTGGTAACAGAAAGCAAATAATGTAGGGTGCATTAGAAAAACCTACATGGCTGTTGGTTTCCCCATTATTATATGACTTTCATTTTCATTTTTCTCCCCATTTCCAGATTTTTATTCATTTTGTATTTGATAGTGTTGCTCTTAAGTGATAGTGTACATATCAAGAAGGTGCTGGTTTTTTTAATTTTGTGACTATCCAGTTATAAATTGGAACCAGTCATTCAAAATTGCTCCTATTTTGCATATCCACTGTCCTTTTTTTCCATATCTGGAGACACTAGATATTTTGTAAACTGCACTGAAATGATTCCTTTTTATTATTTAAACCAGAAGCCTTTAGAATTAGATTTGCCTCTTTTAGCTAAAGTGACATGTTAGTGGTGGTCAGTGTTATGAATTTGGAACACTTTATTTTCTGTTTTCCTTCTACCATGTTAAGTTCCACTGTAATTTTCATTAAACTCTGCCATGTGCTCCTCCAGCACAGGAGACAGGTAAATTTATAAGTTTCCACTTTTAGAGTTTCGTCTTCCTTCTATGTTTAGGTGACATATAATTTGCCCATCTCCTGCCCAATGCCTGTGGAAAAAGTGGGCAGATTACTCTCACAAAACCAGCGGCTCTCCAGTGATCTTCAAGGTCTTGTCTTGGCACTATTACTGAAAATAACGATGCCTTCAGGTGATGTAGATGTGTTTAGATATTTTGGCCGATTTCTCATGCTGCAAATGAGCTGCTCTTGAGACCCACAAAAACTATTTTGTGCAATCTTTTTGGGCTCACTAGCAGAATTTAAACCTTACTATTCCTGAAACTACCATTAATGATGCTGGTGCAGAAAACAAATGGTCTTGGAGTGACACCATGCTAGAATAAATTTGAAAGTACAGGAGCTGTATTACATGCAATGATGAGAAAAATTGTCTGTGCTCTATTCGAGACACTGCCTGTGTGTTTGGCACACTAAAAAAAGGTTAAAAAAAGGTAAAATAAAAAATATTATGGAAATGTTTTTCCCTAAACGGGCTGGGTTATTTTATACGGGGGGAGAGAGAGAGACAGACAAGAAATAAACTATGGAAAAATAACTTAATTGGGCAGAGTCATTAATGACTTGGGAGTTTTAAGGTATGGACATCTTCATTTCGAGAGCACCAGTTCAATTCCGTCATGCGTGCTAGTCACAGAAAGTCACTTTTATTGCCTTATGTGAAATGAGTTGGATAGCCTTTGCCCTTTTCCAGCTGGGCACAAATGTAGTGAAAATAATCACTTTCACTCATTTCTAGAACAATACTTGAACCAAATCTTCTTTAAGGTTCAGCAATGTTGTTCACTTATGGTTTTTCGTAGGGCCTGGAACCATTGAAATAACAGGACAAATGCTGTTCTCCCAGTAATTCCAGATGAGACTGAAAGCTAAAGAACTGGAAATCTCATGCGAAAGATTTCAAGCTCAGTTTTTCAGACTCAGGTGCTTTGGGTAGTTCAGATAAATGTTTGGATGCTTATTCAGAGTTTATCTGCTCACTCACCATCTGTCGTTGTTTATGGATTTTTACAGGGACTAGAACAAAAGTGAGGAGAAATTTTACCTACACTAAAGAATTTATAATCTGTGCTATATAAACACAGAACTGAGTAGTTGCATTTAGAATAATTTAAATTGATCTGTCTAATGTAATTTATTTGTCACCCATCACTTTAATAACAGTGCCTCACCATCTTTAATATAAGCTTCAGAGGCATAGCCGAGTTAGTCTGTAACTGGAAAAACTTAAAAACAACAAATAGTCTAGCAGCACCTTAAAAGACTAACAAAACATGTGATGTTATCATGAGCTTTCGTGGGTACAAAGCTCTTCTTAAGAAGTGGGTTGTATCCACAAGAGCTCTGATACCATCTATATATTTTGTTAATCTTTTAAGGTGCTGCTAGACTATTTGTTGTTTTTTATCTTTAATATATTTATCCTCCCATTATTCCTGTGAGGTAGGACAGTGCTATTAGCCCCATTTTAGATGTGAGGAATTGAGGCACAGAGAGACTAACTGACTTGGCCAAGGTCATACAGAATGTCTGTGATGAAGCATGAACTAATCCTGAACTCCCACAGCCTAGGCTAACATGTTAACCACTGCACCATCCATCCTTGCTACAGAAGGATGTTAATAGTATTGTCTTTTAAGGTACTACTCAATGTGGTTGAGGGCCACAGATTGGGCCTAAGTGAAAAAAGAGGAAAGTAGGGGGCTAATAATAAAAACTTAGTCATCTTCTAACTAGGGACGTTAAAATGGTTAACTGATTAAATACTAGTGATGAACCAGTTTACCATTTAACTTCGGGCCTGCTGCCCAGCCCACAGTGGCTTTGGGATCCAGCTGCCTGGCCTGCCAGCCCCTCCACGACTGCGGTTGCTCCAGCCTGGCATGGCTGTCCACCTCTGAACTTCACCTCCAAGGGCCAGTTAACCAGTAAGCCTACTGGTAAGCATAAGCCCTTACACTTACCGGTGTGCTTACTGGTTAACTGTTTAACATTCCTAATTCTAACTATCTTGTAATCTTTGGTACTTTCCAGAGACTGCAGTTGGGAAAAAAGTAAAGAGCACTGGGTGGTGGGAATCAGCAGAGGAAATCCATTTGGAAAAGGCATCAAAAAGAGAGTGAAAGTGTTTGCTGAACTTGATGGGGTGGGGAGGACAATGTGCTGGGCTTAGAGAGAAAGCAGTGAGAGAAAGCACTGTCATGAGAATGGGAGCAGGCAAAGGCAGCTATATAAGTAATGTTTCTCTTTCAGTAGTTGGATGTTTTGAACCCGAGATCCCAGTGAGCCAAGGCCAGCACATGGGGCTCCCTTCTCCCTGTCCCAGAAGCAGCCGTAGGGCCTCTTTGCCATAGTTACTCCAGGAGCAAAAGTACATTTTCTAGAGGAACGCGGAGGGAGTGCCAGCTCAGGACAACCTCTTCCTGCCTCACCCTGAATCCCCAGTAGGAATGATGTTGACATGTTTTCTCCACCTGAGCAAATGTTCCTCCCATTGATATGCGAAGAGTAGTTCACACTTCTCAGACCAGTTTCTGCAGACTGGCTCCGTTTGAGTCTGTTTCCGTTTGAATCTGTTTTCAAGCTTTCCTTCACAATCGTGAAATCTAGACATAATTTTAATCATTGATTTTATGAAAGCTGAGATTCTGCTGACATCCTACTTGTGCAGGATCTGGAGCCATAGGCACAGGCCAATGTTGTCTATGCCTTCATTGAACCTTGAGGAGAAACTGATGGCCTATTCTGTTAGGCAGAAGATCAGACTAGATGATCACAGTGGGTCCCTTCTGGACCTACACATCTATGCTTTAATGGTGGCAGAGGGATTGAGGAAGCAAATGAAGTCAAGACTTGGGCCTTGTCCACACTGTAGAGTTTTGTTGGCAAAAGGCAGTTTCTGGTGGTAAACCAATGGAAGTGCACCTACTGCAATGGCATTTTAGGCAGCAAAACTCTTTGGTTTTGGTGACAAAATAAAAGCACCTCTATGAGAGACATAGGGCTTTTGGCAACAAAAATAGAACAGCAAGGCCTCAGTGTAGATGCTGCCATTCGTTATCTTGCCAGAACTGGCCTCCTCCAATATCCCACAATGCCTGCAGGTACTCCTCTTCTCACTGATTTCAACTCAGCTGCCCTACGGGTTATGACAGCTCTGCTCTGCTGCTGTGTCCCAGGAACAGAGCAAGCCATTAACATGGAATGTTACTGCTCTCTCCCCTAGTAGGAGCACAGAGGGGGGAAAGCAAGGGGAGATGTGTGGACATGTGATAGAGACACTGCTGTGCTGTACAGAGCCATAGAGGGAGGCAGGCAGGTGCTGATGTTGGGGGTGTTCCCTTTTCCCTGCCTCAGGATTGGTTGCTTTTGGTATCTGGACAGCATGCTGATAAACTCATTCTTCCATGATTCACACTTTGTCTCTTTCATATACTTCCCCCACTATCACATACACTCCCCCAAAACATGTTCTTTCTCTCCCCAGGCACATGCTCCCTGTCTCATGCTCTCTTCACCTCCCCCCACAAACACTTCAGTGGATAAGTGACAGACAATCTAGTAGGATACCCATGGAAGGATGGGATTGAAAAACTTGCATCATGTGATGCTGTACCTGCCCCATGAGGAACTGCAAACTCTTCCCCATGAACCCTGCAGCCAGTTATGCAGTGGTATAACTATCCACAGTGCATTACTCACTGTGCTGAGGAAAGAGCTACTAGCATGGATGCACTCTGCCAACACAAAGAGCATAGTGTGGACATATATTAGTAGTTCTACACTAGACCTGCTAAATCGAATGCTAGAAGAGTGATCTCTGGAACATCGATCTTCTCGTAAGTGTAGACATGCCCTCACTGTCCCAACATGATGCGGTTGCTGAGTTCTAATGACCCACCATTGTACTTGGAAGGAATATGCTTATCCCTTGTCAGGAATGGTGGGTACAAGGCAGGCAGAGATGCAGTCCCCATTACAGCAACATCATCCCAAGAAGCTCATCAAATTCATAAATCGTACAGACGGATCCCCCAGATCGCCATGTCTGTACACCCTGATTTTCACAGATTTATATCTGTTTTTATAATGGACCAGGCTGGGGCTCAGCTAGTCAAATAGTAACAAAAAAATTAAGATTAATACATATATTGCAAATGAATATGGAATATTTGTTCTGCTGTTAATTTTAATGATATTTCGAAAGCTGGACTAATTATTGTAAAGCCTAAATTTTATACACATTTTAGGATATTTGTCTCAAAGTCAAAACAGAAAGCATGTTATCTATTATGTGCTATTAATTATTCTTCTGCACACGGAGTTTGAGTTGCCCAATCAGGGAGCAGAAAAAATATTTGACTTATGTGACCAATCAGACACTGACCATAATGAACAGGAAAAAGGCAAATAGGATGCTAGGAATTATTAGGAAAGGGATAGAAAATAAGACCCCGAATATCTTACTGCCCCTGTATAAAACTATGGTACGCCCACATCTTGAATACTGTGTACAGATGTGGTCTCCTCACGTCACAAAAGATATTTTGGCCTTGGAAAGGGTTCAGAAAAGGGCAACTAAAATGATTAGGGGTTTGGAACGGGTCCCATATGAGGAGAGGTTAAAGCGACTGGGACTTTTCAGTTTAGAAAAGAGGAGACTGAGGGGGGATATGATAGAGGTCTATAAAATCATGAGTGGTGTGGAGAGGGCCGATAAAGAAAAGTTATTTATTAGTTCCCTAAATAGAAGAACTAGAGGTCACCAAATTAAATTAATGGGTAGCCGGTTTAAAACTAATAAAATAAAGTTCTTCTTCATACAGTGTGCAGTCAACCTGTGGAACTCCTTGCCAGAGGAGGCTGTGAAGGCTAGGACTATAATAGAGTTTAAAGAGAAGCTAGATAATTTCATGAAGGTTAGGTCCATAAAAGGCTATTAGCCAGGGGATAAAATGGTGTCCTTGGCTTCTGTTTGTCAGAGGCTGGAGAGAGATGGCAGGTGACAAATCGCTTGATCATTGTCTTCTGTCCACCCCCTCTGGGGCACCTGGTTCTGGCCACTGTCGGTAGACAGGATACTGGGCTAGAAGGACCTTTGGTCTGACCCAATATGGCCGTTCTTATGTTCTAATTAAAGTGGCATAACCTATGGTGATAAATCCAAGCAGTGTAGACATATTCTTGGAAATAAAGAGGCGATCAATAATGTTTTTGAGGGCAGTTTCAGTGAAGTGTGGAGTTTATGAATCTTCACCTAGACTCCAAATTTTTCAAGTCAGAAACCTGGATCCACCACTGACGTGGCTTGCTGTTTGACAATCAGTAATCACTTAGCTTTTCCATTTGTTGGTTTCTGCACCTGCATCAGTTTTTTATGAGTATTTCATTTGTATAAGAATGCAAGGAAGATACTTCCAGTTAAACAAAACTTTACAATTACAATGTGCACTGCTGAGTTATGCTGCATAATTTACCTAATTGCTGACTAGGAAGAAAGTATAGATCATCCCAAATAATTCCAAATAATGTATCTTCTGCTCTCTGGAAAATAATGCAGTATGAAATAACTGAGAGAGAGCACATTTAATTTTGTCACAAACTACCAAACTTTTATTTCTAAAATCTTTATTGCATACTCTATCATTTATGTAGGCATCTTTGCCATTCATAAAATTTGAAGTTATAAAATTTTGAAATTCTATTGAAATATTTTCAATTACAATTGAGCAAATTAATATATGTATATGAATTCTTAGATTTGGTCTTTTAAAAATAATTTGCCTACTATTTTTTACACTGAAATAACAGATTGATCTGACACAGAAACTAGATATGTATTTTTAATAATTACACCACCATTACAGCAGTTCTGCCTTAATTAAATCTTCACAATTACATAGGCTTGTTATTGTATGTCATTAGTCTCCTTAATACAATTTTACCTATTATCACCTGGTTTTCAAGCATACATCTGTCAAAGGGAAGCTACTTTTCCACCTCACTTCATTGCTCACTTGACTTACACCTAAAAGCCTTTAGGCAATTATATTAACAATTATGAATTGTCTTGCTGAAAGTCACAGGAATAATAAATAAATGAACTACACAGGCACATTAGACTGAATAAAACCATTAGAAGATACAGATTCTGGGGGCGCCAGTAAAGTTTTTCCTGTGGGCTTTGTTTTGCCATTTGGTCTAATTCTTTCTGAAATATCCCCATAGTATGCAATTTCATTGCATACTCCCTCACTTGATTTTGCTCTCTGAAGACAATAAGCATGATGTTGCTGTTAAATTCATCAGCTTGATTGATAGACTAAATGTAATTCCAGTTTTCCTCAATCTCACATTTTTGAAGAATTCTTTTTATCATTTGGCTTTATAATATTGTAAAATGTTTGAATGAATGCCCCGTTGCTTATTCAAGTATTTCATTAATATTATGAGCGTGATATCAAAAGTTACACCATCCCCCCTTCATCCTAAACATTGATTTTTTTTTCAGTGTGTGCATGGAATTGTGGACCGATTTGTAGAGTAAAAACTGGACAGAGTTATTATTTAATCTTACTGTGCAAGACCAGTGTTTTATTCCCACTATTAAAGTTTATGGCAAAAATAAAATGTCAGTTACACACTGTGTACTAATGTATTAGTCATTTGCCTATATCAAAAGGAGGAATAAAATATAAATTCAGCAACTACTAAATGGATTACTGGTAACAACTTCCCCTTCAGAAAAACTGTGGACCCTATTTTCCAAAGTGCAGGAAGAGACTTCTTAGGATATGTCTAAACTACAGAGATCGAGGCTGCTGCTGTCACTCTTTCAGGGTTCAAATTAGTGGGTATAGCAAAGACACGCTAATTTGAACTGAGAGGAACATTATGGTCAATGCTGGTAGTCCTGCTTCCATGAGGAGTAAGAGAAACCAAAGGGAGAGTGTTCTCCCTTTGACTTCCTGCAGTGTGGACAGCACCAAAAGTCAAGTTAAGATACTTGGTCTTCAGCTAAGCAATTACCGTAGCTGAAGTTGAATATCTTAATTCAACCTTATCCCATAGTGTAGACATAGCCGTAGGGAGTTATTTCTCTTCTTGATGCCATCTTTGGATAGCCTCATGTAGCAGATTTTTTTATGACTGAGAAATGACACTTATATGTACATTTTTATCAATATGACTCATGTTGCCTTGCACATAATAAATAAGTAAGGTTGTGGGATAGGCTCTATGTCATTCAGAAATGAGGAGTATATTGTCATAAAAGGTTTTTTTTTATTTTATATATTCACTTTTCTAATGTCACATAATCTGAAAGATTAAAGTGCCATCCCAAAAAGAAGGCAGTGAACTACTGCTGAAATATCAGTTTGGGTGCAGCTAATGTTTACCCAAGGTATTCAGTCCCCATATGCTCTTTGATAACTCATACATCTCTTGAGATAATGCATTTAGAATGTCACTGTAAATCAGTTCTCAGCATTAAAATTACTTTGTTGACAACTCCATACCTTTTAAAGGACATTTCCAATGCATGTTCTACTCCCTTCCCCATGCAGAATTCTCATTGATATCAATAGTAGCAGGGTATAGGACCCAAGGCACTTAAATTGCTGAGACCATTCTGACTTGTCAGGTAAATGTTTTGTGGTTTTGATCTCTCTCTTCTTTTTAAAAGCTCTGTATATGGAAAGGAGATATCAGTTAAAGCCTTTAATTGCAGCACAGTATCCTGTCCTTTAACCCAGCCTGTCTGTCCATGAATGTTCAGACATCAAGAGTAACTGGTTACCCAAATAATAGTAGGAGTATCTTAAAAAAAAAGTAGCTATCATTATCCTATTCAAAACTAGATTTTTTTTGTACTAAAGAAAACACAAATTATTTTTCCAGATGCATACACACTAATTTTTTATTGTTTGGAATCTGTAGCTTATAGTATCAATTTATATATTTACATTTATGCATATTCTTAAGTGCTTGCTGTATCATGACCTAAAATTACTTATTTTGTAGCCCACTACTTATTAAAGATAAAAATCTATAACGTTAACTTTGTACAATGTGTGGCATGGAAAGAGTTTTGGACTTTTTCCAAGACTGAATGTGTAACAAAAGATGTAAGGTCAAATGAAAATAATCAGAATAATGAACTGACTTTCCAAGGAGGACAGTCATCTCATTACTTAACACTTTTGTTAATATGCTGAAAGAATAAAGTAATAAAAATATAGCAAATTGCTGCATAAACAACAAAAACCACTGTGATGGGTTCAGGCTCCCTTTAATGCAGTCATCCAATGTGCTGAGACTCTTGTGAGCCTGTTTCCCCTGCCAGCTTGGTCCCCCCAATACCTTGTCTTGTTGAGTCTGACACATTCGCCTCCTACAACATGAACACAGGATCCGGGCCAGGCCCCCAAAACTGCAGAGCTCAACTGAAAACAGCCAAGCGAGTTACCTGTTTGCAGCACTCAAGATACCCCTTCTAGAGGCTAAAATCTGTCGTATGCTGTTTAAAGAATTATACGGTATAAGTACATGAAGTTTGCTCTCTTTCTCAATATAAAGAGAGATATGCACAGACTTCTTGCCTCCCTCTCAGGTAACAATTACTTACTCTGGGTTTATTAATAAACAAAAGTGACTTTATTACATATAAAAGATAGGCTTTAAGTGATCGTAAGAGATAGCACAGAGAACAAAGTAGGTTACGAAGCAAAACAAAACATGCAAACTAAGCTTAATATAGTAAGGGAACTGGTTACATATACTATCTTGCCCTCAAAATTGTTCTAAGCTTCTTTCACAAACAGGAAAAACTTCTAGCCTAGGCCCAAACCTTCTCTCAGTCCAGCTTTACATGTTTCCAGAAATAATTTTGGGTGGGGCCCCAGGGGAGAATTGACAACCTAGATTACCTTACTCCCTACCCTTACATACATTTTGCAAAAGGCAGAAATTTTTTCTAGGCTCTTGTGGGGAAAATACAGTATCTGAGATGATTCCAGCATCTGGTGACATAGCCACAGGTCTTGCTAGGACCCATCATAGCCCCTCCTCCCAGGCTTATAGAAAAAACGAGTGTACTCACAGATCATTATTCTGAGTATTGGGCCATTAAGTGATCTGAGTATCACTAATCTCCCTGATTTAATGGGACTATATTAATAACACAGGTTTATATTACACATTTCCAAATTCAGATACAGGAATGATGCAGGCATACAAATGGGTTAATCACATTCAGTAGATTACAACCTTTCCAATGATATCTCACATGAAGGATTTCACATAAAACATATCCCAGTTGTCATATTCATATTTATATTCATAAACATACTCCCATAAATAATGTGGAATGCCCCTCATGCCCATCTTAAATCAAACCATGAAAGACAGCAAGGGTCTCCTAAATTCAGCTGAGCAACAGCCTTAGAGTTCAGGTTTAATTCAGAAAGAAATTAACAAAGATGAAGTGATAAATTAATTGAACATGCCTCAATTGCTACATCCCAATATATAGAGTCTATCTTCGTGTTTGTGTACAGGCTGTTAGGCTGAATTTTAAGATCTAAGGGAAAAGATGTTAGTGTCCCTGAGTAGAGAACACATCTAGGAATGACCATATGAGAGTGGATCAAGTCAGCTATGGTGACCATACTACCTTAACTCTAATTTTTTTGTGTATGCATTAGTCTATATTGAAATACATAGGACACCAAAGTGGCAATGTTATGGATAGTGAAAATAGGCTGTTACAGGAGGAACCTGCTCTTTAAGAGGGTTGGGGCTCAGCTGCAGCTATGTCACACTTACTCCCTCCTCCAGGTGAAGGACATAAGTGAAGTCACATGAAACAGGTCAGGTGACTAGGAGTGAGGTACACAGGGAGATAAAAGGCAGCCTATGATTCCATAAGAGTGGAAGAGACAAGTTGAGAGGATCTCAGAGGGTAGGAGAAGATAAAAATTGAGAGAGATCTGCAGGCAGGTATGTCCTAGGCATAGAGCAGAGCCTGGTAAGCAGGAGAATCTTGCTAGAAGTGAAACACAATCCCAGGAAGGACAGTTATGCTCCCCCCGTCCCATGGGAAAAGATGTTTGAACTCAGGATGGAAGGCAAGGAATAGATTGAGAGTCACTCCAGAAGAGGAATGGCATAGGGAGGAATTCTGAGATGGAACTGAACAGAGCAACTCCAGGAAGAAGGACTGCAGGAGTCATTCTTTAAAACAGAGATGGAAAATAACCAGTAAACGGAGAGGCCCTGGAAAGGAGCATCAGGGCTGTTTGTGACTATAAAGGTAGACACCACAGTGTTTGGTGATTGAAGTGTGCTTAAGGCGGAGAGAAACTGAGGCAGGATGCTTACAGTGCCATGTTACGCCTCAAAAGGGCACACACTGACACAAGGCCTTGCACACAGGCTTATCATATATTTTCTCTAGGATTCATACTTCATTTGGGCCTCAATTCCACGGCCACTGAAATCAATTGGAATCTGACCTTTGGCTTCAATGGGAATTGGATCAGGCCCTGACTGTCCAAGCTTGACAGGGTGTACTATGCAATGTGCAGTGTTTTGAAGAGCTTCTTTCATACCTAAACGTTATAGTCCACGTGTTACATAACTATTTGGAGGTCTCTGCAATAGATAGATGTGGAAGAGTATCTTTAGGACAGAACATCGGCTTTATCTCAGAATTCTTGAATATATTTTTGGTTTAAGTAGTACCCTTAACAGTGTGTTGAACTGATTCATATTTTTTAGAAAAAGAAAATGCAATAAAAGGAAAATTGAATGGATCTAGTGGTTCTTTGTCTCAGTTATGGTGTGCATTATGCTTTTTTTTCTACTAAAATCTAAATGTAATGAACAAACCAGACCTGACTCAGTGGGAGTTGTGCCCATTTATATAGACCCTGGCTCAATAGGAATGTGGCCCATTTATTCCTGAGCTTAATTTGGTTAAATCCTGCTTCTCATTTTACTGCTACTTTAAATCCAGCATTTATCCCTCCATAGAGCCTGTCAAGTGATTTGTTGTGAATAAATTAGCCTGCAAATGTAGCCCACTTTTCTGTTTTGCAAACCATTCTCAAGCCTATCATCTCTGCAAATGTATTTTCTTTGTTTGAAAGCATTTGGTGCTTTAGGTCTTGGGGGTTAGTCTCTTCTGTTGGGAAGAAGAAAACAATTTAAAAACTCATTAAAAAATAACCAAGTATGCATTAACAATATACACACACTTGCACAAATATTTAGAATGTCTATTATCTGAAGAAGGAATCCCTGAAAGCCTGGTGTTAAACTTTTTGGTTGAATATAAAGGTGGTATCTCCTCCAGGGTCTGAGCCAAAGCTCATTAAAGTCAGTAGAAAGACTCCTATTAACTTCAGTAGGCTTTGGATGAGGTTTCTAATAGGGAATATTTATAAATACACACTATGTTTTTCTAAAATTGTTAAAATGCCTTTATGCCTTTGTAGTGAAGCAATTCTAAACACTTAAGGTTTATTTTTCCACAGAACTCTCACAATTACTTCTAAATGCTGCAATGTAGAAAACAGTTGTAATACTGCTCACTAAATTGGAATGCACTCACTTCAGGAATAGGAATCCATATGTCAAAAAATAGTTTATTTAAAACTTCTAATAGAAAATGTTCCATTTCACTCTCAGATGTACACTATGTAATATAGAATAGCATATTTGGAGCATATTTACATCTAGGTTGCCCAATAGTGCTGTTTTCTGTGTTGTAAGATTTTAGAGAGCCTAATTTTACAATGAATAACACCAGATGCTTTAGAAGAGCAGTGGGAACTGTCTGGGGTTCTCTGCTTGATGTTCCCCTCTGTCTTCCTTCTTTTGAGCCTATGTCCCTCATTCCCATCTCTGGTTTTTTTTATTATTATTTGTTGTCTTCCAGACTTACTTGAGCCCTGGTTCAGTAGCTCCTTCCCTTAGGTGAGAGAAGGGGCCTTCAGATGTGGGTAGGCTTGTGTCCAGCCACTTCAGACTCTCCTTAGATGCAAAACAAAAAAAGCAGTCATGTAGCACTTTAAAGGACTAACAAGATGGTTTATTAGCTGATGAGATTTCATGGGGCAGACCCACTTCTTCAGATCATATTATGCCTCCAGCTTCCATCCAGGACACACCACACAATCCATCGTCCACAGGCAAGCACGCAGACACAACCGCATCTGCTCCAATCCCACTGACAGAGACCAAAAACCTCAAGATCTCTATCAAGAATGCCAGTCTAGACCGGAACAAATGTCAGGAAAAACTCCTCTTTCGGAAGCCCACTCATTCCTCGTAGAATCAGGAATAGAGGGGCTTCCAAAAGAGCGCGTTTGCTCTTCCGGAAAAAAAAAACAGATGCAGAAGAGTTTTTCCGGGATACCTCTCAGAAAAACTCTTGTAGTCTAGCTGTATCCTTAGTGTGATGCATGCTTCCTGATTCCTTACCTAGACTATATCTACGCTACAAAGAAAAGTCAGAAAAAGATATGCAAATTGCGAACCACAATTTGCATAGCTTTTTCTGATTTTCTTCTGAAAGAGGCTTTTCTGACATTTGGCCCGTCCACACGGGGCCAAATGTCAGAAAAAAACCCTCTTTCTGAACATCCCGTCTTCCTTGTAGATCAAGGTTTACAGGGATGCAGAAAAAACTCGTTTGCTTTTCCGAATTTTTTTCCCCTTGGACGTGGCAGAGGTTTTCCAGGATACCTCCAGTATCCCAGAAAAGGTCTGCAGTATAGACGTAGCCTTAGAGATGTCCCAGTGGGCACAACTTTGCCATTTCTTCCTTATTCTTTTTAAAGGAAGCTAGGGAAATCAGGAACTGGGGATTTGACCCCTTAACTCCCTTAAGGCTTCTTTGAAAAATCCTACTCCAAGATTATAAATAAACCAATGATAAATTATCTATACTCACCCATTGACCACCAGCCCAGTAAATAAACCTAATATAACTATCAACTAGATTGTAAGATGCTAGGAACATGCACAATCCTTTTATTTTCCTGTGCTTGCATAGCTCCTAGCACAGTGGGCTCCTGTCTCATAGGTACTATGACAATAAAAATAATACCAGCAAACACAAATCCTTATCTTTTCCCTTCTCTTTGAAACAGAAGCATTGGTAACTCAAAGACACAATTTTGAAGATCCTCTTCCCCTGAAGAGACCTAAACTGTTGGGGAAAGTGCAAGAAAACATACAAACCCATGAGAACAATGGCTGACCTTAAAAAAGCTAATAGACACTTAGGATAGTGACCGTGCCAGGTGCCACTATAATAATCACAAGCCAATCAGAATCTAAACACAAACCAGATTTAGAACTGTCACATCACTAAGCTATTGGAAAAGAGCTAAATATATAAAAGCTAAGAAAACAGATACATTCTCTTTTATTAGCTGTCCAACAGAAAATGCTGCTGCTGCTGCTGATGATGATTTCTCCTGATTAGGAGTTGCACACCTTGCAGGATAACTGTCCTGTCCCTCACTAAGGATTAACATTTCTTTTAAATCTTGAAACTTCATTATAATGGCAGTTGATTGTTATGATGCTAGTCAAAGGCTTTGTTAGGAGAAAGAGGCTGGAGGCTCCTAGATGATCTTAAAAAATGCTGATTAGTGATTACTCTACAAAAGCAAGGTTTGGGGCCACTACACATTGCTTTCATAGCTTCCACTCTCTTACTGTGCTAACCCTTATCTGAGATATTGTACGAAAGAAGCTAATTCACTTCCTTTTCTGGCCATGAAGTAGATAGGAATCTGTTGTTGTATTTAAACATTAAAAAACACAACCAACCAACTGCTGCAGAAAAACACTTGAGGGAAAGGGGTGAGAAGAGGGTAAGGAGTGGGCAAAGCTTATTGTCGTATTAATTAAAATTCACAGAACAAAATTGTTGTTTGTTATAAACACAAAGTCATTTGCCATTTATTCGCTAGGGGTAGTGAAAAATATGCTGGCATTGCAGTAGTCAGCTTGTCAATGTGACCTTTTTTAATGTCACATGTCACAGAATTTCATGTCACACTAAGACAACGTGACAGGGCCTAGCAGTGTTTTTCTAATGCTTCTCCTTCACATTCTCTAAAGTGTTTGCATCCTAAAGAGGAAAGGTACTGTACATCCAACATGTGGTGATTCAGTGAACTCTGAAAAGAGAAAGGTCACTCTGCAAAATATACTTCTCTTTTCCTCATCCTTCTCCCTTCCCTCTTATGTATGTATGTATTTTTAAAAATACATTACAAAATTCAGATAAACTAGCAAGGCCGTCATGATGCTTTGTGCTTGGTGACAAGAACACATTTGAAATGTCAGTGCTAGTTTAGAATGTCACTCAAATACTTTATGCAATATTATCTCTTTACATCTAATGTAATGAAAACTAAATGGAAATTCCTGAATCCAATTCTAGTAGCAATCTGTGGTGGTTATGGGACTACAAAGTTACAAGGGCCATGAAGATAACACCATTTTTCATCATTTACTTTTAAAAACCAAACCATATAGTAGAAGGTACCAAAAAAACTATCTCCACTCATCTTTCTTTTTCTTAGTATAGTTGGCAAATACTATTGTTAATGGGGGTGATTGCTGTAACATATAGTGTCAGATATTAGTTGGTGTAGATGTAGCCCATAATACACGTATAAATGCTTTTTTATTACTGATTTTGTGTTGTATTAGTATGGAATTTGATACACTACAAGTGGTGTATTTAACACAATTGCATTTTCTGAGAGTACGTCTACACAGCAGTGTTATTTCAGAATAACTGACATTATTCCGAAATAACATAGTCCTCCATCTACAAGATGTAGACGGAGGACTTTTTACTCTGACTCCTGTAACCTTCATTTTATGAGGAGTAAGGGAAGTCGGAGGAAGAGTGCTCTACTTTGCACTTCCTGCTGTGTAGACAGCGCCAAAAGCTGAAATAAGCTATTTTGACTTAAGTTACACAAATGATAAGATGCGTAACTTATTTTGGCTTTAGCCCTGCAGTGTAGATGTGCCCTAAGTTTAATTTTAATTATTAAATGTTATCTTTAGTAGGGTGGGCCAACCCATATTGCATACATGACCTTTTTATTATTGGGTGTGGATGCTTTTTGATCAGATACTATAGACGTTTGGAGGAAAGGTGGTGGAATGGTTGTTTTTTGTTTTGTTGTTTTGTTTTTGGTTTTGTATTAGCTAGAAAACCAGATGACCATCAATCTAATAGTACTTGCAGATGATTTCGACCTTTGCACTGTTAGAGATCAGGCTTTTGCATGAAGTGCCTTAAGAGATTCAGCAAATGTGGGAGACTTGGGCTTCTTCCTCCTTGTTGTCATGTTTCTTGAAGGTGGTGACAACTGAGTCTTTCATCTCATTGGGTTTTGCTGAGAGACTCACCAGCTCAGTTAGGGCGCTAAATTAAGTTAACAATATCTTGAAGTCAGAAGGAATCATACTGGAGAAGTAGAGGAGGGAGCCCTAGAGAGCAGGAAAATCATGGATGATGATTGTTTAGGATAGTCAAGACAGAAGCAGACTGTGAGGGACTCCAAAAAGATCTCACCAAACTGAGTGATTGGGCAACAAAATGGCAAAAGAAATGTAATGTGGATAAGTGTAAAGTAATGCACATCGGGAAAAATAACCCCAACAATACATACAGGATGATGGGGGCTAATTTGGCTCTGACAAATCAGAAAAGAGATCTTGGAGTTATTGTGGATAGTTCTCTGAAAACTTCCACACAGTGTGCAGCGGTGGTCAAAAAGGATAGAAAATAAGACACAGAATATCTTACTGCCCCTGTATAAAACTATGGTACGCCCATATCTTGAATACTGTGTACAGATGTGGTCTCCTCACCTCAAAAAAGATATTTTGGCCTTGGAAAGGGTTCAGAAAAGGGCAACTAAAATGATTAGGGGTTTGGAACGGGTCCCATATGAAGAGAGGTTAAAGCGACTGGGACTTTTCAGTTTAGAAAAGAGGAGACTGAGGGGGGATATGATAGAGGTCTATAAAATCATGAGTGGTGTGGAGAGGGCAGATAAAGAAAAGTTATTTATTAGTTCCCTAAATAGAAGAACTAGAGGATACCAAATGAAATTAATGGGTAGCAGGTTTAAAACTAATAAAAGAAAGTTCTTCTTCACACAGCGTGTAGTCAACCTGTGGAACTCCTTGCCAGAGGAGGCTGTGAAGGCTAGGACTATAACAGTGTTTAAAGAGAAGCTAGATAATTTCATGGAGGTTAGGTCCATAAAAGGCTATTAGCCAGGGGATAGAAATGGTATCCCTGGCCTCTGTTTGTCAGAGGCTGGAGAAGAATAGCAGGAGACAAATCGCTTGATCGTTGTCTTCGGTTCACCCTCTCTGGGGCACCTGGTGCTAGCCACTGTCGACAGACAGGCTATTGGGCTAGATGGACCTTTGGTCTGACCCAGTATGGCCATTCTTATGTTCTTTTGTTGTTTGTGTATTCTTGACTGACCAACAGAAGACCAGGAAGCCAGTATATAGGACTATAATTTGCCTTTCCTCTCAATCTAATCTTTTAAAAAAGTATTTTCATCCATTATGCAAAAGTCATTGGGAACACACACTGCTCATTGTCCAAAACCCACTGTGGTCGGTGAAAAGACTGCCATTGACTTCAGTGGGCCTTGGATGAGGGCAATGTTGCTATTGTCACTAGTGCAGAAAATTGGTTCACATAATTTCTTTGCAAGAATGGGTGCCATAATGGGTGACTGCATTGTAATGCTGAAGGAAACTTACTTGTTCTAGAGTAATGAAAGCGTTCAAAATGACTGAATTCAATACAATGCAATAAATTAAAAGATATTTTCATAGACAGTGTTGATTTATATTGAAATTCTTTGTATTAATGAAATGAGTTTTGTGTAGAATAAATAAATGCCCAAACTTTCTCTCAAAACTTTTTAAAATTATTTTTGTGTGTTTTGATTTGCTTTATTCTTTCTC